CAATGCAACCAAATACAGAAACACAATGCAAATACTCACAATGCAGCCAAACACAGAAAGACGCTGCAAAAATTATAATGCAATTAAATACAGAAATGTGCTGAAAATACTCACAACTCAACCAAGTACAGAAACGTGTTGCAAGTTATCACAATGCAACCAAAAACAGAAACGCACAGCAAATACTCACAATGAAACCAAATACAGAAATGTCCCGCAAATACACACAATGAAACCAAATACACACAATACAACCAAATACACACAATACAACCAAATACAGAAACGTACAGCAAATACTCACAATGAAACCAAATACAGATATGTGCCTCAAATACACACAATGAAACCAAATACAGAAATGTGCCTCAAATACACAAAATGAAACCAAATACAGAAATGCACAGCAAATACTCACAATGCAACCAAATACAGAAATGTGCCGCAAATACACACAATGCAACCAAATACAGAAACGCACAACAAATACACACAATGACACAAAATACAGAAACGCAAAACAAATACACACAATGCAACCAAATACAGAAACGCACAGCAAATACACACAATGCAACCAAATACAGAAATGTGCCACAAATACTCACAATGAAACCAAATACGGAAGTGTGCCGCAAATACACACAATGAAACCAAATACAGAAATTTACAGCAAATACACACAATGAAACAAAATACAGAAATGTACAGCAAATACTGACAATGAAATCAAATACAGAAATGTGCCGCAAATACACACAATGAAACAAAATACAGAAATGTGCCGCAAATACACACAATGCAACCAAATACAGAAACGCACAGCAAATATACACAATGAAACCAAATACAGAAATGTGTTGCAAGTACTCACAATGCAAACAAATACAGAAATGTGCCTCAAATACACACAATGCAACCAAATACAGAATTGTGCCGCAAATACACACAATGCAACCAAATACAGAAACGCACAGCAAATATTCACAATGAAACCGAATACAGAAATGTGCTGCAAATACACACAATGCAGCCAAATACAGAAATGTGCCACAAATACACACAATGAAAAAAAATACAGAAATGTGTTGCAAATACTCACAATGAAACCAAATACAGAAATGCACAGCAAATACTCAGAATGGAACAAAATACAGAAATGTCCCGCAAATACACCCAATGAAACCACAAACAGAACATTGTTTCAAATACACACAATGATACCAAATATAGAAGTGTGTCTCAAATACTCATAATGAAACCAAATACAGAAATGTGCTGCAAATACACACAATAGTACCAAATAGAGAAACGCACAGCAAATATTCACAATGAAACCAAATACAGAAATGTGCCGCAAATACACACAATGCAACCAAATACAGAAACGCACAGCAAATACACATAATGAAACAAAATACAGAAATGTGTCGCAAATACTCACAATGAAACCAAAGACATAAATGCACAGCAAATACTCACAATGGAACAAAATACAGAAATGTGCCGCAAATACACACAATGCAACCAAATACAGAAACGCACAGCAAATACACACAATGAAACAAAATACAGAAATGTGCCGCAAATACACACAATGCAACCAAATACAGAAATGTTCTGAAAAATACTCACAATGCAACCAAATACAGAAACGCACAGCAAAAATACACAATGAAACCAAATACAGAAATGTGTTGCAAGTACTCACAATGCAACAAAAACAGAAACTTGCTGCAAATACACACAATGCAAACAAATACAGAAATGCACAGCAAATATTCACAATGAAACCAAATACAGAAATGTGCCGTAAATACACACAATTCAGCCAAATACAGAAATGTGCCGCAAATACACACTATGAAAAAAATACAGAAATGTGTTGCAAATACTCACAATGAAACCAAATACAGAAATGCACAGCAAATACTCACAATGAAACAAAATACAGAAATGTGCCGCAATCTGACACAATGAAACCAAAAACAGAAACTTGCTGCAAATACACACAATGATACTAAATACAGAAATGTGTCTCAAATACTCACAATGAAACCAAATACAGAAATTTGCCGCAAATACTCACAATGAAACCACATACAGAAATGTGTCGCAAATACACACAATGCAACCAAATACAGAATTGTGCCGCAAATACACACAATGCAACCAAATACAGAAACGCACAGCAAATACACACAATGAAACAAAATACAGAAATGTGCCGCAAATACACACAATGCAACCAAATACAGAAACGCACAGCAAATATACACAATGAAACCAAATACAGAAATGTGTTGCAAGTACTCACAATGCAAACAAATACAGAAATGTGCCTCAAATACACACAATGCAACCAAATACAGAAACACAAGGCAAATACTCACAATGCAGCCAAACACAGAAAGACGCTGCAAAAATTATAATGCAATTAAATACAGAAATGTGCTGAAAATACTCACAACTCAACCAAATACAGAAACGTACAGCAAATACTCACAATGAAACCAAATACAGAAATGTGCCGCAAATACACACAATGAAACCAAATACAGAAATATGCCGCAAATACACACAATGCAACCAAATACAGAAACGCACAACAAATACACACAATGACACAAAATACAGAAACGCACAGCAAATACACACAATGCAACCAAATACAGAAACGCACAGCAAATACACACAATGCAACCAAATACAGAAATGTGCCGCAAATACTCACAATGAAACCAAATACAGAAATGTGCCGCAAATACACACAATGAAACCAAATACAGAAATGTACAGCAAATACACACAATGAAACAAAATACAAAAATGTACAGCAAATACTGACAATGAAATCAAATACAGAAATGTGGCGCAAATACACACAATGAAAAAAATACAGAAATGTGTTGCAAGTACTCACAATGAAACCAAATACAGAAATGCACAGCAAATACTCACAATAGAACCAAATACAGAAATGTAGCGCAAATACACACAATGAAACCAAATACAGAAACGCACAGCAAATATTCACAATGAAATCGAATACAGAAATGTGCTGCAAATACACACAATGCAGCCAAATACAGAAATGTGCCACAAATACACAAAATGAAAAAAAATACAGAAATGTGTTGCAAATACTCACAATGAAACCAAATACAGAAATGCACAGCAAATACTCAGAATGGAACAAAATACAGAAATGTCCCGCAAATACACACAATGAAACCACAAACAGAATATTGCTTCAAAAACACAATGATACCAAATATAGAAATGTGTCTCAAATACTCACAATGAAACCAAATACAGAAATGTGCTGCAAATACACACAATAGTACCAAATACAGAAACGCACAGCAAATATTCACAATGAAACCAAATACAGAAATGTGCCGCAAATACACACAATGCAACCAAATACAGAAACGCACAGCAAATACACATAATGAAACAAAATACAGAAATGTGTCGCAAATACTCACAATGAAACCAAATACATAAATGCACAGCAAATACTCACAATGGAACAAAATACAGAAATGTGCCGCAAATAGACACAATGCAACTAAATAAAGAAATGCACTGCAAATACACACAATGAAACAAAATACAGAAATGTGTCTCAAATACACACAATGAAACCTAATACAGAAACGCACAGCAAATATTCACAATTTAACCAAATACAGAAATGTGCCGCAAATACACACAATGAAAAAAATACAGAAATGTTTTGCAAATACTCACAATGAAACCTAATACAGAAATGCACAGCAAATACTCACAATGAAACAAAATACAGAAATGTGCCACAAACTCACACAATGAAACCAAAAACAGAAACTTGCTGCAAATACACACAATGATACCAAATACAGAAATGTGTCTCAAATACTCACAATGAAACCAAATACAGAAATGTGCCGCAAATACTCACAATGAAACCAAATACAGAAATGTGCCACAAATACACACAATGCAACCAAATACAGAATTGTGCTGCAAATACACACAATGCAACCAAATACAGAAATGTGCCGCAAATACACACAATGAAAAAAAATACAGAAATGTGTTGCAAATAGTCACAATGAAACCAAATACAGAAATGTGCCACAAATACACACAATGCAACCAAATACAGAAATGTGCCGCAAATACACACAATGCAACCAAATACAGAAATGTGCCGCAAATACACACAATGCAACCAAATACAGAAACGCACAACAAATACACACAATAAAACAAAATACAGAAATGTGCCGCAAATACACACAATGCAACCAAATACAGAAACGCACAACAAATACTCACAATGCAACCAAATACAGAAATGCACAGCAAATACTCACAATGCAACCAAATACAGAAATGTGCCGCAAATAGACACAATGCAACCAAATACAGAAACACACAACAAATACACACAATAAAACAAAATACACAAAAACAGAAAGGCGCTGCAAAAGTTATAACGCAAACAAATACAGAAATGTGCTGAAAATACTCACAACTCAACCAAATACAGAAACGCGTTGTTAAACGCAGCGCACGTGTTGTCAAAGTTATGAAGATGTTTTCTTAATTTGTTGTAATGTATTTCCTGCATTTACAGTGCGTTGAGCTCTCTCGGCCACCATAACAATGCAATCAAATTTGTGTAGGGATGGATTTCCGAACAATTTGCATAGAACAATGTCGTTTTCAACCCTATAAGCCCAAAAACAATTCCAAATCGTTTTCTAATTCACACATATGGGCAAAGTGTTTCCTCTCAACAAGCCTTAGATCTCTTCTGGCAACTTTTTTTTTGTAATCTGTTCATGTGACATGATGTAATTGAATGCAATGGGTGATGATGGTAAACAAGTGAGCGCAGTCAAACAAAACATCTGTCTGTGAGACTCGGATGAAGCAGCACAGTTAGCAGGCGTTTTAGCCAATAGTGGACTGTCTATAGTCATTAAATTTGGCTTTCTTGTCCCCAGGGAGAGCCAATCACCTTCTGCGAGAAGAGCTTTGTGGCACACCGCTCCAGCACCATGAGAAGTTTCCTTGAGATGGCCGTGAACCTGCAACTCTTCAAGCAGGTAAAGTGGAAACGATGGAGGAGATTTTCACAGTTTTAAACCTCAAACATAAATTACATAACACATTTGTAGTGTTCTTGATTTGTTAATTTAGTTGACAAGTTCATGATATTTATATAGATACTCATGCAACATATTGCACAATAACTCCAAGAGGATTACTGTCTTGCTTACACTTGAACCATCGCTCCCTCCAGCTCTATTTATAGCCATGATATCGAGCCTCTTTCCTTCCCCCTCCGCAGTCTTAATTAAGTCTTAATTTATACCCGGAACAAGCAGTTGCGCATTTAATCACATCTACGTCTTGACGCGCCATTCACATAACGCTCTCTCCAAAAACCCAGATAGTGACCAGCAGTTCAAAGACATTTCCACCTTCCGCCCATGCAGTAGCTCCGGGAGAGGTCTTATCTTCAACTTGGCCATACCGCAAAAGGCCAGCACCGCAGTGCCCCGTTCTGACCATGAACCACATCCGCTTGGAGGCCAGCCCTGCCTAGAAACGAGTAGAGGCTGGCTGCCAAGAGATTGCGGGGGTAGTCTGTCAACGGCGACCTGCTTTCTTTATCCTACCTCCCCCCCCCCCCACACGGCTTCCAGCGCCTGATGCTAACTCACAATCACCCTGCCAACGAGAGAGAGCTTGCAGCGCTCTGGCATCGCCCCATCTCCCTGTCTGCACGGGTCCGGTTAACTGGTTCTTCCTACAGACTCTCATCACTACCCCCTTGATGCCTTCATTTTTTTTTTTTTTTTGATGCGCCGTAGTTGCATTCAGCAAATTAAGTTGCTTGGAAAAGTTTTTTTAGCTAAAGATTATGCCTTATGTTCATAATTAAATGTGAAGATCACTAATACATTGTTATATATTCTAGTTTACAATACATTTACCCTTAACATGGTGTTTTGGAACATTTATGCACCGTTAATATAGCATAATGAAATAAAATAAATGTCACCAACTCCATCATCAAGTGTTGGTTCCTAGATGCTAGTGCTGGAGATTTCTCAATTTCAATCGATTCTTATTTTGAAGAACTTAAATCCCAAGAATTGATCTTTTAGTCTAGGAACTTCATTAAATATTAATTTTAGCGCACCTTCTTTACAATAAATCATAATAAGCTTTATTACCTTTGACAAACAATAAAAATGATTTTGGCGCTCTTTAATGTGCCTTGACGGATCATCTTTACTACTAGTTAAAGCATGACATAAACATCAATGAACATCAGAATGTATGTCAAAAGATTTGATACAACTTAACGAAATGTATCATATCTTATGTAATTGTTTAATCAGTGTTTCAACCCCGGAAAGACATTAAAAAACAGCTTGTAAACACATAACATTTACCTCAGAAAAGTCTTTTAATATACAAAACCTCTTTAGTCAGCTAGAATAATTAACTCTATAGAGAAGTATTGAATATATATGTGCTGAATATATATATGCACTACTACTGTTACATATCTATTACATGTTTTGCTTAACCTCCCCTTAAATTTGCATTTATTTGTATAGCGCTTTTCACAATACGTATCGTTTCAAAGCAGCTTTACAAAAAAAAAATGTGTCTACATTACAATTTAGAGTGATCTGTTATCAGTGGTGACTATTATATTTCAGAAATATTTCAGAAATGTACATATTCAAATCATGCAGGTAGCTAACACTGTGTATTAATTTAGGGCAGACACAATGAGCACATTGAGGTGAAGAATACATGTTGTTAACAAATGTTTAGGATATATAGAAAACAACAGCATTGGTGCAATCTCTATTTAATGTATGTTTGAACAAATTAGTCATAAAAACATGTTTTTATGCCACCATATTTCAAAAACTGAATTGAAGTAGAAACATAATTATATATCATTATAAAATCTTTGACTTTTTTATAATAAAAAAAATAAGTTGTTAATTTTAACCATTACTATTATAGCAATGTACCAGTTGATAGGTTTCCCTGTATAGTTTATCGCATTAGTTGAGAGTGACTTTTTTCACTTTAGAAAAAATTGGCATGTTGTAGCTGATATGTATTCAAAATAAATTGATATTGAATCGCACACTTGTAAATTGAAATCATGAAATTTGTTTCAATGCCCAGCTCTATTACATACCAGCCTTTAAATATCCACTAAACAAGCAGATATGTTGGAGCAGTGTCCAATTAATGTGACGAGAGTGTGTCTGTAACACGATACTGAAGGATGAGAGTTTTTGATAGGTGTTAATTTGACCTGATCACATGCTCTAATTGGGTGTCTGAGGCTGAACCCTGTAGTCTCATCACTCATTAAAGAGATTGTAATGAAGTTACCCTGTAGCAGAGTCCAATGAAAGGTGCTGACCCCTAGAGATGTCCCCACCCTGTTACTGGGACACCTGAGACCTGTTCTGGTCCATTGTTTCTTCAGTGGTCCCATTAAAAATAATGTGCTCTTCTTGGCGATTCAAAGCACTTGTGCAGAATCACATCCAATTTATTAGTGGTAAGAATATTTTATATGCGTTATATGAAATAAATGTGCTAATGTATACCTTTAAACATAAAATGATGCATATAGAAGAATTTGTCTAGTATCTTTTAGTAGATGTTATTAATTAATTTTATAAGGATGCAAAAATTGTTACATTAATAACTGTAAGTTAGAAGACTAAATAAAACTTCCATAAACTGCAGAACATTTATATATTCCTTAATGTCTTAGCTTGGTTTTTGAGGTTACAGACCATAAAATAAAAATATATATGAACAGAAATTCAAATTGTACATAAAATTATAGTTTACACAAGAACCCATTTTTCTAGTAAAATTATTGACTGTAATGTATCATGCTTTAATATCTTTACATATGTTTTTTTTCTATATTCCTTTAAATAACATCTTTATTATTTATCTGTATTACATGTCTTACATTAGTTTCTTTTATATATTTAAAATACATTTTTAATTAAACATCTTCAGTATAAGTTTCCACATCCTTCCAAATCAATCTTTTAATCTTTCCCAAGAAACCTAGACTGAAGTTTGACTATATGATGTGATGTTATATATTCAGAAAATATTTTTAATATATAATTATATAATATTTCTTTTATTTTTTTGGCTTGTTATACTTGTATAAATATTTTCACATCAAGTTTATTTTCATACTTCTGAAAATGTCATAGGCATAGTTTTAATGGGAATATTTAATAGATCCCTTTTATGTCCTCTACGTGACAAGAGAGGAAATTAAACTTCCCAAAAGGCATTGCTCACACAACATTCTCCTCTGCCATGTTAATCCATCACCTGATGTAAATTACACACAGTGACCACGTCTGGAGCAGTCTAGATGGAATTGTTTTGGTGTTGTTCTCCATCCCCCTTCTTCCTTAATAACCTGTGATACTTTAATTTATGGCGGCAGTTCATTGAAGGCAGACTGGCCAAATTAAACGCAGGAAGGGGCTTTACAGACGTCTATGAAGAGGAGATCACAGAGGGGGGCTTCTGTAGAAGTGAGTGCCACCTCTCCATCTTTCAATGAGTGAAAACAGCTCACACACACTCACACTACTTTTACCCTTGGGAAACAGTTGCTTCAACAACATTAGGCATTTTGAAATGTAACATTTAAAGGAGCTCTTTCAAAATTAAATTTCTGTCATTATTTACTAATTTCCTGACTTTGGAATACAAAATCAGAAACCTCGAAGAAGGTTCATGTCGCTCTTTTCCACACAAATGAAACAGAAGTGACCAGTTGTTAAAGCACATTGAAAAGAAAAAAAAAACTCTATAAAAAACATTCAGGTTTGTAATGACACAAGGGTGAGTAAATGATGACAGAATGTTCTTATTTATCAAAACAAGTTGTTTTCTTTTTTGTTTAAAAGTTGTCAAATTCCTTCTAAACCTCATTTATCATCTGTGGAGCTCTGAATAAGATATATATCTAGTTGCATCTAACTCATGTTTGTATGTGTGTGTATATATACACATGTGCACATTATATTTATTAAGTTTTATGTAAAACGGTTGTGCTGCTCAATAATTTTGTAGTACATTTTCGGGATTTTTCATTTCTATTTTCTATTTAAATTTTTGGGAAATAGGAAACTTTTGTAGTATTGTAAATGCCTTTTGACCTTTTGATAGCATTATAAATGCCTTATAAATGCCACTTTTGATCAACTAAATGCATTCTTGATTAATAAAATGACTAATTTCTTATAATATTTTTTTGGTTACTAATATTTGTACTAAATGTATTATTAACACTCTAATGCTGTTCTGTTTCTTAGGTAATTCAAGGTCTTATCAACAGTGGATTCACTCCAAGGTGGTAAGCAGCAGGCAATTGTTCGTTTTTCTGCTCATAATGTTAATGTTAATTTTGGTTTAATAATTAAGTCCAAAGCAGATGAGCGCCTTTATTATTTCTCGTCGGTTATGAGGTGATGAAAAATATCCAGTTGAGTGAATCGCATGAAAGTGGAGATGCGATGCCTGGGAAGATGGTGAAAACTGTGGCGTGGGACAGTTAAGATGTTGAGACAGGCTTGATATGATGTGACAGCCAGTCATCGGAGATGACACGAGACTTCTGGCAGGAAACACAGCCATTACTCGATAGATTGAACAAAAGAAAAGCATTCTTTTCTTCTCTCCTTCCCTCTGCTGTCTTCCTCTCACCTCTCTCCGCGCTGTCTCTCGCGCCTGTTTTCTTTTTGACTGTCTCTTTGCGTCCCCCCCCCCCCCCCCCCCTTTTCTATCCGTCAGCCGGAGCCGAATTAGTTCTCTGGAGTGCCTTTTTCAAAAGGTTTTGTGTAAAGTTCACCTCTTCTGACTGACACAAATCCATAAGAAAGGGCCGCAGCGCCATCATGTCGGTCAAGGCTTTGGGATGTAAACTCGGCAACATCCCACGCATTTCAGAGGTTTAGCGTGTTAGCCTGGCAGCATTCATCTGGTAAAGACCGATGTTACCCGGGAACGAGAGATAAATTCAGACAAGAACATACCTTTCAATAAGAGCTTCCTAGAGCATCACTCTCTCTGGTTTCAGACTTGTAAAAAGGGAACAGATCTGGTTAATAGTTCGTTTTAATGGCAAAGTTGTTTCTCATTGCTTTGGGGCAAAACAAAGGTTTTGACACGTGGAACAAGGTGTTTAATCAGCCGTTAATGATTTGTGACAGTAAAAGTGTGTATATTTTCTGTGAGATTTTTTTCAGTACAAGTCTTACAACAAAATCTCTGAAAATGCTTACGTTCTCTTCTCCATAGCGGCAGAGGGCAAAACCAGTCGTGAAAAACCTTCAGATGGTAAGAACACACAAGAAAAGCCATTGTTACCTTTTGTGTTCAACACAACAATGAAACTCATACAGTTTTGGAACAGCTTGAGGGTGAGTGACAGGTTTACCAAAAAAATCTGTCATCATTTGTTCATCCTCATGTCGCTCCAAACTTATATGACTTTCTTCTGTAGGACATTAGAGAGATGGTGTTATATATTATAACATGTAACGTGATGTATGTGATAGCCAGTAGTGGCCTGGCCAATGTTGTTTGGTTCTTTTGTGTTTATCCATTGTGTTTATGGAAATGCTTTTCAACCTGATAAATCAGAATTTTAGGTACTAGAAATTTGACATCTATCATGTACTTGTATAAAGAATTGTGCGTCTACATTTTGGCAACCAATATATTTCATGCTTTTTCCTCAATCTGCGCAGAACATGTAAAAAAGTGGGTTTGGATTTAGGGTAATTCTAGTATATAGGGCATAGAGTAATGACAAGTAAAAATCGCTTGTTATTACCACTAACAAGGCTCAAAATAGCCCCACACTAAAACGACAGCATAACAAGGGTCCCTACATTCAAACCGAAGCATTGAGAACTTTGTCAGTGTCCATACAGTTTAATAAGAAGATATTTTATACACACAGTCAACTTCGCGAATACAGGAAGAAGCCGTCTTTGAAAAATAGTCTCTACCAGTCGATCTAAGAACGCCGATCCATGTCCACCAGTGAGATGTGAATAAGGTGATAATGTGAGCGCGAACAGTAGGCTACGTGTACACATTGAAGAGAAGAAAACGGTTCGTGTTTGAGTTTCTTCCGAAAACAACAGACCATATGAGATTCTGCACAGTTCAGCGCACATGGATCTGCGTTCGTAGATCGACTGGTAGAGACTATTTTTCAAAGATGGCTTCTTCCTGTATTCGCGAAGTTGACTGTGTGTATAAAATATCTTCTTATTAAACTGTATGGACACTGACAAAGTTCTCAATGCTTCGGTTTGAATGTAGGGACCTTTGTCATGCTGTCGTTTTAGTGTGGGGCTATTTTGAGCCTTTTTAGTGGTAATAACAAGCGATTTTTACTTGTCATTACTCTATGCCCTATATACTAGCATTATACTAGCACTATAGGCTAAACTGTTTTTAGAGATAAAACTATTTACATTCGGCAATCATGAAAACAAATCTCAGATAACGGTTGACTAGGTAGCAATGTGTAATTAGACCAAAGGTTCATTTTGCGCCGGAGTTGTCCTTTAATTTTAATTGATTGATGTGAAGTTATTGTGCAGAAGTACAAACATTGCAGTGTAAAGGTGCAGTAACATTAGCATTTCTACCAGAATTTTTCAGAAATTCTGAAAAAAAAAAACTTTTTCAATAGTATATTGATGAATGAAGCACAGCTCACAGAAGCAGCTTCCTGTTTCTATCTTGAACTTGAACGCTCTTGCACGAAAATCCTGTTCAAGCAGATACTTATTGAAAAGAATGGATTTCGTGTGACTCACCTTAATATTTGACAGTCATATTTCTTTTTTTGTATGGTACTGTACTGATCATGAAAAAATATATATAAGCATGTTGGAAACCAAACAACTTTGGAGCCCATTGACTTTCATTGTATGGACAATGGACAATATTTCTCAAAATATCTTCTTTTATGTTCTGGGGGTTAACTATCCCTTTAATATGATTCACCTCTCACTTTTTAGAAATTTCATTGTTGGGTAGTTATTTTCCCCTAAGTATATTGTTAAGGTATTGATTATAGATTTCTCTCTCTTTTGAAAGGCCAAAGATCATGCAAAGCGGAAAATACGTGACATGAAGGGCAAGATTACACAAAAGGTGAGTTATTCAGAGTTCTCTGTTTATCAAAACAGTGTATTTTTGGGCATTCAAAAGCCTAAAAATGCTTTCTGAATAAAGCAGCTCGCCGTCTCTCACCTTCACACTCATAAAGACTCATGCACACACACTATTTAAGATGGATCACATGACTTCACCCATGGCTCGCGCTCAGGGTTTTAAATGGCTTGTGAAACCTGCTTAGTGCTTTGTTCGGGAGTGTACATTTCTAACAAGTGCGCCTCTGGCGATAGGCTGTCATGTCAGCCCCCCCCTCCCCAGCATCACCTTTCATACTTTTTGCATATTTCATCAGTGAGCGAGTGATTTCTTCAAAGCTAATGTAACGAGATGTATGTTTCCATAACACTGATGTCTTTGATAAGGCAATTGTGGCGTGAACTGTCAGGCCAGGAGCTCGGAAAGGCGGCCCAGAGGAGACGAGACCTCTCACAGTTGATACGCCGGATGTTAGCAGCTGCTGTCTGCTCTGCTTCAGCTAAACCAAAACAGATTTGAACAAGACGCTTCTCAAATGAGTCAGTGTTATTGGGTGTGTGCGCGTTCGTATAAATAATCATGCAGTCTGTTACTGTGCAAGACTCAAACGGGCTTGTAGCATAACATTTCGAATAACTCAGACCGGCCAAACTGGGTACATATTAAGAAAGGTTTGTGTGCTTTCTCAGCTTCTCTTTTTCTTTTTTTGTTTGCTTTTTGGCAGGACGCTTAAGATGAGGGAAAGGTCCTTCACATTAGGGAAATTTCACTGAAAGTTCACTGGTTCAATAAAACTCCTCTCTCACATGAAATTCCCAGTAAATGGATTTCACTTGCAAAATTTCGCAGAACAACGCATTTCCCCTCTCTTTTTTTGCTTTTTCACCCGGATGCTGAAAAGTCGAATCACATTAGGGAATATTGATGAAATTTCACTCGCAAAAAGTCTCATTGTCAATAGTGTAGCGAAACATTACGCACAGTGTTTACACAAAAGTCAATTTTAAACCAAGCAGTGAATTTAAGTAAAAACGATTTGGACACGAGTGAAATCTGCATAGGGAACTCCTTCGCTCTCACTCTGATTGCCTAAATTCCTATTGAATTAGTAGATTTCGCCTAAAAAATTTTAGCAGAGCAATGGCGGAAAAGTTAAACGACATTAGGAAAATTTCATCGAAATTTCACTGATTGTCAATAGTGTAGCGATGCATTAAACAGTGTTTACAGAAGTGATTTTTGAACCAAGCAGTGAACCCAAGTAAAATCTTGCTCTGATTGCCTAAATTCAATGGCAAATCTGACTGTATCTTATAAACATAAAATTGGATATTTTGAAGTACGTTCAAAACTGGGTATATATTATGCAAGTATTATACATGATTTGTCAGTTTCCCTCTTTTTTATATTGGTGCTCAGCAGGATGCTGAAGAGGAGGAAAGCCTGTACTGTGAAGGTTCTCCCACCAGCACTAAAAGCCTTTCACCCAGGAGACTACAGAGGAGAGCGGTGAGCATGTACACACTCTTTCACACACTTGCACACAGAGGGAAAAGGGGATCACGGACAGTCCGCCCCCTGAAAGGAGCGGCCATTTGCACACCAGTAAGTCCGAACCGACATGGGGCGGCTTGATTGACAGCTGTGGCTAAAGCGGCCGTGTGTAGTGTGTGTCTTGCGTGTGCGATTCAGTGATGTGTTGCCAAGCCTAGGCAGGGAAGCAGTGAGCCTCCCATAGACGCAGGAGGTGGCCTGGATTCATATCATTCACTGGCCTGCCTCCATTTCCAACCCAAATAGGCCGTGGTGGTTTCACAAAACCAGATTTTGGACTGGTAAAAAGGCTTTAGTTTTGATGCAACTTTAATTTTGTAAGGTAAAAACACTTTTCTAGTGTTTTTTCCCCCCTGGCATCCACTTATAAAAGCACATTATCATGTTTCATGACCTTTTTCCCATCATCTATTGGTATTTTACATTAAACAAACGTATTTTGCTGCTAGGTATAGTTTTTTCCTTGGTATAGTTTAGTAGCTGTAGGTTTTATCCTCCTTGCACCCTAACACAGATCTCCAAAAATGTCAAATATGCATGTGCCTTGTTACTCTGTCCCTCATGCTGATGCCCACAACCATCAAGCCATGCACCCAGGGACTCCCACAATGCTCTTGCTGCATCGACCTGCAAAATCATTTTGAAAGAAGTCTCTTCTGATCACCAAGCCTGCAATTATTTAATCCAAAAAGCAGAAATATTGTGAAATATTATTGCAATTTAGAATCAAACTTAAATAACTATTTATATTTTAATATACTTTAAAATGTAATTTATTCCTTTGATTGTAAAGATGAATTTTCAGGTTCAATGATTCGGCAAGATTTATATATATATATATAGACTCACCAGATTATTAGGAACACCTATTGAATTTCTCATTAATGCAATTATCTAATCAACCAATCACATGGCAGTTGCTTCAGTGCATTTAGAGGTGTGGTCCTGGTCAAGACAATCTCCTGAACTCCAAACTGAATGTCACAATGGGAAAGAAAGGTGATTTAAGCAATTTTGAGCGTGGCATGGTTATTAGTGCCAGACGGTCCAGTCTGAGTATTTCACAATCTGCTCAGTTAATGGGACGCACAACCATTTCTAGGGTTTACAAAGAAGGGTTTGATAAGGGAAAAACATCCAGTTTGTGGCAGTCCTGTGGGCGAAAATGCCTTGTTGATGCTAGAGGTCAGAGGAGAATGGGCCGACTTATTCAAGCTGATAGAAGAGCAACTTTGACTGAAATAACCACTCGTTACAACCGAGGTATGCAGCAAAACATTTGTGAAGCCACAACACGCACAACCTTGAGGCGGATGGGCTACAACAGCAGAAGACCCCACCGGGTACCACTCATCTCCACTACAAATAGGAAAAAGAGGCTACAATTTGCAAGAGCTCACCAAAATTGGACAGTTGAAGACTGGAAAAATGTTGCCTGGTCTGATGAGTCTCGATTTCTGTTGAGACATTCAGATGGTAGAGTCAGAATTTGGCGTAAACAGAATGAGAACATGGATCCATCATGGTGGTGGTGGTGTAATGGTGTGGGGTTTGTTTTCTTGGCACACTTTAGGCCCTTAGTGCCAATTGGGCATCGTTTAAATGCCACGGCCTACCTGAGCATTGTTTCTGACCATGTCCATCCCTTTATGGCCACCATGTACCCATCCTTTGATGGCTACTTCCAGCAGGATAATACACCATGTCACAAAGCTCAAATCATTTCAAATTGGTATCTTGAACATGAAAATGAGTTACTGTACTAAAATGGCCCCCACAGTCACCAGATCTCAACCCAATAGAGCATCTTTGGGATGTGGTGGAACAGGAGCTTCGTGCCCTGGATTGCAGCTGCAAATGCGTTTTACATAAAAGCTTCCTTTTCCTCGATTTACTGAAGAGGAAAAACTCCTTTTCCTCGATTTACTGAAGCTTTTATGTAAAACACATTTGCAGCTGCACAGCTAGCACATTGAGCGTCTGGCTCACTCATAGGCTGTGCTGTGGCAAGAGCACATCCAATGGTGCGGGCGCCTCTGACGTGCAACCATGGAATAATCTTCCCATCAAACTCCCCTCCGTAACCCATTTAAGCTACAAAAATCCATTCAACAAAAATAGTGATGCAATTAAGTGTTTATTCACTCAGCTGAGACCTCTCTGTTGCTGTGTGGAGCAGCCTGTGTCAGTCACCTCTTCCTGAACGTCACAGTCTCGTGAGGAAACGCAGCTTGTTTTGATATAAAGTTTTTCTTGTTCCCAAATACAAATATTTTTATTTATTTATAAGTATTTGTTCCAAATGAGTAATCGCCAAAAAAGACATTATTTGTGCCTTTCGGAATACCGTATTTGGGTTCGGCTCCACCCCTAATATATATATATATATATATGTACATATAAATTACTGACCCCAAACCTTTGCACAATATTTATTTATTTATTTTCAGAGAGTAAATGAAAGAGCTGTGTACACTTGTCCAGCATTGATTTCTTCATGACTGCGCTCACTTTTCATATAGATTTTTTTAAATAAAAATTGCATGTACACGCTAGTTATAAATTGCATATTCAGACACACACTCATCAGCATGAGAGTGTCCTTAGCTCTGTTATTCACTCTCTCTATTGAGGCTTTAACAACTGTAGCTCAGCAACATCAATGTTGATCAAAAATTCAGAGCTGAATAGTGCAAGTGTGGATTAGCTGTAAAAAAAATATCTCACTTCCGGCATGAACAGCCAGCCCTTGTTGCCCTTACATGCTCACACCTCCGCGTCCCGTGTCAGAAGGGCATTGGACAAAAGCCACGGCTGGCCTGATCCCTTCCCCGCCTGCATGCCATCGTGACCGGTGACTTTCCATCCAGCCCTTAATTAGCACGGCTATTAGTTGCATCCTTGTCGTCAGGGAGAGGTGGGGAGAAAGGAATAGGTGGCGTGAAAAGGTGTGGAGACAGAGGTCCTCCAATTAGGGCTTTTCTTAAGGTGGCGGACCGACCTCCCTCCACTCGCCCGTCCCTGAGGAACCCTCTATCAGAGCTCTCGGATTCATCACATACAGTACATACGCATGTTCTCCTGTTCGTGCACCAGAGCCACAAAGACCCTCCACGCGATCAATGAGCAAATCAATCCACTGCGCCGCTCAGTCATCGTTACCGTCTAACAGAGAACAAAAGAGCACAGGGTGACGGGGGTCTGAGCGGCAGGCCAACACGCTCTATTTTTCAAGGCACTTCTGCTGGTGTTCATTAAAATGGGAGAAATGCTGCAGTGTAATGAGACCTGCAACATCTGATAAACCGTGGTAGTGTCCAAATGTCTAAGACCACTAGTGGAAATGCTTCTATTTTGCATTTTTTTATATAATAATTTTTTTATCTAATATAAAAAATGTATTTTTTATTCGTTACATGTAATTACTATAGTAATTACTATAAATCGCACATAATTACATGCAACGAACCTTAACCACACCCTAATCCTATAGTAAGTACATGTAGTTAATTAATATTACTCAGCACTTAAATTCATCATTACACTGTAACACATACATCCTAAAATAAAGGGTTACTCTTTATTTTAAGGTGTCTGTGTTAGAGTGTAGTTATACATTTAAGTACTGAGTAATAAGAATTAACTACATACTATATAGGGTTAGGGTAGGATTAGGGGTTGGTTTGGGGTTAGTTGCATTTAAGTTTGTATAATTTTTAGTTATTACTACAGTAAAAAATACAGTACATGTAATGTGTTACAAGGAAACTTTAAAATATTGTTACCAAGTGTAACCAAAACATTTCCAGTATACATTCAGTTATCTGTTGAGTAAATTTGTTTGAATTTTTTTTTATGTATTTAAGCGTCTCGTTTTTTATGAGCCGTAATAAACAGGGTGATCGGGAACCCGATGCAAAGCTGACTTTACATTATAAATAAATAAATGTATATGTAATATTGATTTAGGTTGGAATTTATTATATTGATTTCTTAATTTTATGATGTGGGAAGAAAGAGAACGAGTAACATGAGAGACATAAAAATCAGCTCAGCATTAGGGGTAAACAAAAACAGTTTAGTGGTAGAGCGCAGACCAATCTAATATGTGGATATATATTTCTTTTGATGAAGGATTATTAACAACAAAAATGTATAATTGAAAAACAATAGTCATTTTAATTATACTTGTTGAACATACAATAAACATAAACAATGTATTAATACCAATGCAAAAATAATTGATTAAAATGTGATGTATATATAATTTATTAAAATGTATATATAATATATAATAGATATAGGTATATATAATAGACATAGGTATATATATACAATATATATATATATATATATATATATAATGTTATATAGGTATATATAATATAATAGGTATATATAATAGACAATAGATATATAAAATACTATGTTTTGATTCTTTTTGTGTTATAAGTCCAGTAGAGTTTCACAAATGTTATGTGAACACTTGCTGCACTCACTTGAGAAAAGTTGAGCTGTGTTTTGTGACTGGCTCACTGCGCCGAATCCATGTGGCGCACAGTATAAGGGGCTGGTTTCAGGTCGAGCCTGAGGGCCTGTGAAAGCCAGACTGGGTGTCAGTAGCAGGGCCTGGGGCAGAGTGGAGCTGATCTCTATCTCCTGCTTATTCCTGCCGACTGAAGCTATGGGTGTGTGTGTGTGTGTGTGGGTTGCGGCTGCCTCCTCTGAGTGGCACACAGCCTCTGGGGAATGACTCCACACACACACGCTCTCTGGATGAAGCCGGCAGATGGATCCCCTATAGCCGTGGCCAGTTCAGCAGCGCTGCATATTAAGGAGTCCAAAAAGCTCTGTTCACGTTGTGTATAATTCATACACACTTCCTGCTCCGGTTTGTGGGCTTCCACCTTCATTTGCATACCGCCCTAAGCAGTGACCACTGTAAACACGATTGCGTTACAGCTGCGGAAGGGTTAACGGTGTAAAATGAACTCGGTGTCATGAAATTATAATTAGTCATTTGAATTTTTTAAAAGAAGTATTCCAGGTTCAGTACAAGTTGACAACATTTTTGGCATTATGATGATTAATAACATTTTTTTTTACTAGTTTTCCTTGCTTTCCTAATAAAAAATAATAGAGGTTACAGAGAATGTGGCCATTTTTTTGAGGATTTAAAAGTTGAAATATGAAGCTTGTCTTATAAAAGTACTTGAAAATTGTATTTATTTGAGCTATACAGTTATAAAAAAATATTGTTTTAGGGTTTTAGTTGTTGCATTGTCATGGCAATGAAGTAAAACTGTTCACAATGAAAAGGTGACTTTTTCTAAGACCAAAATCATGTTAACACTCATGTTGCTTATATTTTGTGGCTGTGCAATATATACGATGAGTATTTGGCTCAATTCACTTCCACTGTGTCTCACTGTAACCCAGATTTTTTTAATTTTGTTTTTTTTTTAAAGGAGGGAATTGTCTTTTTATTGTGGTTATCAACATTTAATGTCGTCGGTTGAAACCAGAATATTCTTTTAATACACATTCTTGTAATCAACTAATATTCTCTTTTAAAGAAAATACTTTTGTAATCTTTCATCAAAATAATCCATTATGATGCACAAGTCTCACTCTGTTTTTCTTATTGAATATCCTTTTCACTCAAAAAAACTGATGTAAAATTTCGAAATTCGTTTAAATGTATTTAAATTCAAATTCTATTTAGATATGGCTTATTCTTTCTAAACTCATCTCATACACTTTCATGGATGGATGAATGTGAGAGAGTGTGAGATAGAGCTTTGTGAAACTGTAGGTCTGAAGGACTGCCAGCGTCGAGATGGATTCGTTGGGTGTCAAAAAACATTGACGTACAAATGGAGAGAAAGCGCTTCTGGCCGGTGGACGTTTCTGTGCAAACGGAGAGAAGCCGCACATCTGCATGAGACGATGATGAGACGGAGATGGCGGGGGAGAAAGCCCTGTCGGCTGTAACCAAAGTGCCACCTACTGGATGCTCCTGAACGACACACACACACACACACACACACATTTACACTCTTTCTTGCGCTCTCCTGCTCTCTGATATTCGGAAAGTTGCTTTTAGCTGGAGCCAGTTGGAGGGAAGTTTGCCTGGGAAGGGGTCCTGGGCTTTGTTTAAAGGGGAACTGCTTGAATAGCTCAGCAGATGCTGGCTTAAGTTTTGGCTTGGAGGTGCAGGGGTTTTGTTTGCATTTTCCAGGCATATCTTCCCTTTCCATACCCTGCCAAGCGCATGAGATCAGTGCCTGGTCTGAAATAGCATATGAAATATATAATGTAAGCCTGGCTATTAAATCGACGAGACGATTGGCTGCAACGTAAAGCCCTGTTGCCGCTTCTTACAACTTGGCCACGCTAGAAGCAAAATGGGATTTTCTCTTAGAACGGCCTGCCCTGACAAGAGAGATGAAGTTTTAACGGTTTTCAAGTCTCCGTTGAAGAGCGCGATGTCTGCTCGTCGCTTCGACTGAAGACAGCCCATTTTCCGTGTGGATTTAAACAGGCAGTTTAAGGAGCAGACGTTGACCTGTGGCAGCTCAATATGTCCGTGCTGATTTAGGGGACACGTAAAAGAAGCAAATAGGCACATGTCTGCTTGTTTTCCAAATCAGCGGTTTTGGCCTGTCTCGGAACAGTGGCTCGAACGGCTTTTGTTATTTTATTTCATATCCTGATTCTTTTCCTGGCCCTTGACTTTGTTTCACTTTGACTCACTTTGGAAACAATGCAGTGACTAAAGTTTAATGCTGACTTTGTCTTCATGTTATTTCCCAGCATCCTCTGCTGTGCCATCTCAGAGAGTAATTAGCGATTTACTAAGACAATCATTTCTATTACTCAGGGCTACACTAATGGGGGGGGGGATATAATACATTTTTTCTGATTAAACATTTGCGATTTAAAATTAGATTTTTTTTAAGCTTCAGTTTGTATTAGTTTGGCCTAAAAATGTAATATATAGATGATTTTAAAAATAAATTATTAAACAAAATAAGAGATATTACTGTAATATTTCACAGTAATATAAAATATACATATAATATAAAAAATAAATAATAAGAATAATAATCATTTTCATTTCATTTAACTTAATTATTTATTACTTTTACACAACTGGTCATTGAACAAAGTGCTGTATAAAAATAGAGACAAAAACACAGGCATGCAAACACACACACACACACACACACACACACACATATATATATATATATATATATATATAAACAAACATATATATACTATACTATACAAACACACACACATATATATATATATATACTTTTTATCATTTATTTTTAATAATTCCTCATGTGTAAAATAACAATGTGCCACACTTCACTCTGATACACGCAGTGCATATATTATATTTAATTAAATCACAGCCTTGATTGGATAATCACAGCATGCCAAATCACGATTTTAGTTTTATTTAAATTCATCATGCAGCTCTACTGTTACTATTGTTTCACACCCATAACCTCAAATGTAAACTTATTTTGACATGGCCTTAACAAGTGCAACTTCTTTGCAACATGAACTCACTAAAAATCTAAACTTTAAAAATTAGCCTAGCACTTAGCCCACCTATCGACTGCGAAGTTTAAGGCTGACTTTGTATTATTGTTATTTTCTAGCATCCTCTACTGTCATCTTGATGCGTAATTAGCAATTGTTTTAAGATTAGCATTACTATTGCTATTATTTCCCTCCCATAACCCTAAGTATTAATGTCTTTTGAATTGGTTCTGTAAGCAACAACCCAAAACAACTGCTTAGCAGCATGCTAAAAACACTCTGGACACCTTTGAAACCACAAAAATAAATTGCTTAGCAACTACTGTAGCATTGTAGCAACTACTTATATTTATACGTTTTCGTTTTTACATTTATTCTTAGGTTAAATTCTACAAAATTTCAGAACGAAGTTTGGAAAATGTCAAATATCTCAGAAGGGCTGAAAAAAATGAATGATTTTGTTCATATACCTGACTGTATGTGTTGAGAGTTTGCTTTTTTTTTTTTTGTTTTGGGTAGAATGTGTTTGAGACGCAGGTCTGGTGTTGCCATCCTGCAGAGGGCTTGCACTCGCCTTGTTTTAATAAACACCTCTGCTCATAGAAAGCACAAGAGAGGGGCCGCTCTCTGAACAGCACGGCCCGCTTCGCAGCTCAAGGGGCTACATAACTGCAAACAGTGTTGCAGGGCAAACAAACATACACACACACACACACCCCACCGACACCAAATGAATGTGACACAGTTCCGCAGGTGCATCCAGCCTTTTCACTTAAGCCAAAGTGGCTTGCTGGCTAAATTTATGGCCCTGACACAGGAATCCATTAAAGCCTTTTGGAGGATTCAAGGCCTGAACCCCCCGTAATCGCTTTCATTATAGCTGCCGGCTACTAGCGAGTGGGGCAATCAGTGCCCAACATGTGTTCCTGTTTATTCCAATGGCAAAGTATTCGGTACACGCATCTCTTAGCTATTTTTATGGACAGGGTGGCCATTAACCCATTCGGCAGGCACCGTTACCTAAGATGGCAGGAAGCTTTTCGCTTGAGCCATTACGGCGAGACTTGACCAGTTGATCTGATCCACTCTGTCCGGTTAGCAACGTAGCGTGACGTTTTTCTCGCGCCTCGAGCTCAGTAAAAGGGCTTTGGTTTAGTATGTGCTTTGATAATGTGGCAAACGGCAGTTTATGGGCTACTTTAGTGAGTGGCGGCACGTTTGCTTGCGTGTGTGTGTGTGTACACATGTCGTGGATGGCTAGTTAATAGCAAACCTTAAAGCCTGGGGCCGCAGCGTGAAGTGGTGCCCTATAATGCTTCAATTCTTTAATTTGCCAATTAAACGTGTTACACAGGTGTGTTATAAAAGCCAAGGGATTAGCAGACCGAGCACCTATGATGGGGACAGGAATTAATGCTGTCGCTCTGTAATGGGGACATGCAAAGTTTCATTCAGGAAATGTGTTGCTTTAGTAGATTATGTGGGATTTTAACATTTCAATCCTCTATTTTAGCATCAAAATCCAAAGTCGTCTCCACACATGAGCCTCTACTTTCCAGACAATGACAACAATGATGACACAGCCAGCAGGTAAGGGTTTAAACTCTATTACAGTGTGTTTTCCAAACCAATTATAGTGTAAACATCATCCATTCTTCAAGGAAACACTGCCCTCTGGTGCTTTTTTTCATCCCACATGACTTTCGAGTTAACAACAATGTATGTGTGTGTGAGCAGAATATCCTCTGAGGACAGTGGGGAGGCGCCGTCATACAACGAGGACAGTGATGACTCTGATTTAGAGTTTCGGTCTGAAGCCAGCCAAACGGGCCAGATGACCCTGCTGGAGGAGATTCTGGACTCTCTCAGCACGTCCCACATCGAGGAAGGGCGACTGTCCGCCGCCAAGAGCCTCGACTTTTTCAGATCAATTGAAGACCTGGACTACAATCCCACGGTGAGGATGCCTTTTATTTAATTATTTATTTTTAATTATTTCAATTATTTGCATATATTTACGTTTTATTAATTAATGATTGTTTTTTTTTATTCATTCATTCATTTAAATTATTTAATTTACATTTTAATGTTGTTTTTTTTATTTATCAAGATTTGAATAAAGGATGGATAGATTTAATTATTTTGGAAACTTAAAACTTTCATCATTTTAAAAGAGTTTGTTAATATTAAGGAGGTATATAGGGTCTGTTTTGATCTCACGATTGTGTGCACGATCAACTGCATGGCCTCAGTGTGTCATTTGTACTGTTTCCAGAAAAATTGCAAGTCTCCTTTGGGAAGCAGCCCTGCTCAGGCTGGTTGCGAAGTAGGAAACGGAGAACAAGGTGGATGGAATATGGGTCAAGATGACAGCGTCGTTCACGGTAAGCATCTCCCGCCTTCGCCTCGACGCCAACCCAGCTCTCGTTCCCTACCTCCACGTCCTACCCTTTCCAATAACCTCCCCAATGAGGAGGTCCCACTAAGGAACTCTCTCCCCGAGGGACCGACAATTCAACTTTTGGAACCTGGTGATGCTGACAAACCCTCCAGTTCTGCTGACGCCCAGCTGAGCGCACTCAAACTGCACCCAGTAGCCCACGGCCTCTCCCGACAGAAGGTTCTTTCCAGAAAAACCCAGAGGCCCTACCAGGAACACGCCCAGCACAGGGCAACAGACGGGCATCCTTCGGTCTTCGTTCCTTGGGAGAGGGAAAACCAGTTCCAGGAGACAGATATGGAAAAAAGAGGACATGAGACTGAGGAGAAAGGCTTACTAGAGGAGATCGAGTCCATGTGTCGCATCAGCATGGCCATCAAAAGCAACCACGTTCAAAACAACACCAGCCTGGACAAATCCTGAGAAACTGACGCAACACTCCCGTCTAACAATTCTCATTTCATATTTACACTGTCCTATGATGTCACACCAGCACTCTTTGCATGAATTATTTGCAAAGGTGTTTTGTAGTCCTCTTATTTCTCACAACAGCATTCGGTATGTTTAAGAACTGGTCGATGGAAAGGACGAAAATTAGGTTCAAAGGGATTTATGTCAATATTCATCATCCAGTTTTATTTATTTCAGCAGATGATTTGCACTTGCGTAGTTTCAAATCACTGTTTCGATAAATCACTGTGGGTGAGGGGCGAACTTCTCTGTATATTTTACTAAATCATACGAAAATATTTAAATAGCGAGTGAATCTCAGCTTAATATGATGCCTTAAACAGATTTAATTTGCTTCTACACAGTATTTCCTGACTGTGACGCTGTAGCTGTTTAGCTTGCTAACTATTATCACTACTTTTTGCGTCTTAAAGAGAGATATTTATCTAGGCCAGATGGACAACTGGTTCTCAATTTGCTATATTTTTGAAGAAAAAAAAGTATTTTTTCAAGAAAATTCTCAGGTTTATGCTTTTATCCCAGATAAGATGTTAGTGTTTTAATTTCAGCTTAGACAAAAATCCCAGTTACATTTTTTTAAAGGACTAATAGCCTTAAAAACGATAGTCATAGTATACTGACTTTTTTGCGCAAACACAACTTGTTACTGACGAATAAATGTATATTTTAATCTTATTGATCTCTTATTCAGTACAAAGTTCAGTCCACGGCACTAGAACACAAATGCACAAGTTGTGAAATTTATAACGTAACTTGAGTACGTGTTGCATTCTCAGTGTTGCCACAAGGGGTGCTGTAGCAGCTTTAGCATAAACTAGTTGATTCCTAAATCCTGTACTGTCTGAGTAGGTAATAAAAGTACATTTGATAAGGGACAAACATTGAAAACTTCTGAAAAAAAAAAGTATTTTGTAGTTAGTATCCAAGCCCGATCAAAATCCAAGCGTTCTACATACGCCAAAAATCGTCATGTGACTTACGGCTTAAGTTGTACCGCTTCACTGCCATTCACAAACCTTTTCCCGTGGCCTCATGGGATTCCAAAGTGTCCATCAGATGCGCACTTTAGAATCTCGCCGGAAGTAGTAGGTCACGTTTTTTTCTTCTCGCTCAACGTTTTACCAATGTTTTCATACCACTCGTCTCGTTTACTTCTTTTTTTTTACCTTCTATATATACAGTAGTAGGGAAGTATGCATATATACTGGAGGAGGGTGTCTTCATCTATGGTTTGCAGAGAATCTAGCTTGATATATGAATGTTAGGCTTATGAAATTGTACCAATTCTAGTTACGAAAATATTTGTCTTGTTTCACTCATTTCATTCATATCAGCTGTGAACGTCAACCTCAAAGCTGTATGCTACACCAAACAGGAAGTGGTTATTAGATCCAGCACTTGTTTCTTTAGTGGCTGTTGAGCAGGATGATTTAGGACACGTGCCATTCTGTCTGACACTTTAATGACTCTCCTCACCCCTCCTGCGTAATCTGCTGTGGTAAAGATGTGAGCGTAAAAGCATTCAGAGTTTCAGGACCCCTGTCTCAAATCAAGCTAGGCTTTTAACGTAGCGGTTTAGCCCAGAAACGATATATCCTTCGGCCTTTGAACAAATCAGACGTCCTGATGAACTATGCAAATCCCAATCAGAGTTATCAAGCATTGTGTGGCTATTAGTCCATGTCTGTTTTTGATCAATGCCCACATGACATGCAGGACATGTAGTTAATGTAACTATTAAAACTTATGGTACGTAAATTAAAAAAAAAGTATTTCAACTTAAAATAGCTATTCTTTTCACTTTAAAATGCTTATAGTTTTTGCTAGCTCAAAGGTATTATCCTGTAAATGGGAAGATCGCATTTGCGTGTACTATTTTTAGCAATCAGCAACTTTAGGGAACTTCTGAAAAGAAATTTACCCCAATCCTCTATTTAAATACAAGGTTGTGCCTTAACTGAGTTCGACTGCTTGAGTAGCTGCTTCCTTCTAACTCATAAATGGAATCTTATACCTGAAACTCTACGTAGACAGCAACTCTTTATCGGTGTGGTCACATTGGCAATATTTTACTGGCAAAAAATGGTCTATTGTTGATAGTGTTAGTGACGTGTGGAGTCACTTTCGACCAGCTTTCTGTTGGTCAATGCTGCGGATCCACACGACCGACCGAAACTTGAATCTGCATAGGGAAACTTTTTGTTGTGAAATTCCTGAATGCATAGATTTCTTTGGAAATGACTGGATTTGTCTTTAAAAAATTAAATAAAAATCACTGAACAATTCTAAATGTGACCGCACATTGATTCATGTGATGCTGTCTAGGTAGACGACAGGTACTTTAGTATTTTTACTTTTTAATAGTTTCTAAAATATTGGTATATGAACCAAAACCTGAAATACTTAGTAGAATGTCTTAGTTTTTTTTTTTTTTTGCCTAATAACCTGTTTATTTGGTATATGGTTAATGTAAGAAAGACCATCAGCCTGTTCGAGACCAATCAAGCACACAGGACCTCAGCCGAAGTATCTCAGAATGGCCATGTGATCACTTTTTACATTTGCTTCCAGTGCGTATTTTTATTGTCGTTATTACTTTTTGATACTGTGTATTTGAAAAACATGTATGGTTTGGTTTATTGTTGTCATTCATGTGCTTTGAATTATGATGACTTCTTGATATTTGTCTTTGGTAATGACTGAAAATTCAGAATAGATAGAAGGAATTAACCCCTTTTCTATACTAATTTACATGCGTTTTTCTTCTTATTAAAATAAAATGAGTTGTTATTTAGCATTATTTGAAATTTGGTCACAGTTCATGTTGCAGCATTGAAACTTCCAAGTGTTGATTTTAAAGCTGAAGTGTGTAATCTTTTGGAAAAACTATATGAGAAGCGTCATTGTTTTTGCCATTTCGCTTGGTTACGATACATTTGAACCAGTTACTGTTCACCAGCTGTTTAAAATTAAACACTACTTGAAACTGGATAGTAAGCACATAAATTGAAGAACATGCTACCCAAAATCTTTTCTTCTTTCCTGTTTACATATGCTCGTGTTATTGATGTGCATTTTCGTTGTAAAGTTCTGTAGTATTTTTTGGTAATGCTGGGAATTCTTTTAAGATGCATGAGCGTACTTCTTTTAGTCGATAAAGTAATACGATGTCAGCTTTTATGACCATGGTACTATTTTTGTTTTTGCTTCGTAGTATTGTGACGTTCTTCATCTGTTTTGCTGTTGAATTCTTTTGTAAATTGAGTAATGAGCTGCTGTAGCTGAATCACTGGACTCTCCAGACTGTACTTTTGAATGTTCCACACAAGGCAACATGTTTTTGTCACACTGATTTTATTCAACATAATGATAGACACACCATTTGTACTTCATTTTCTTGAATGTTTCCTGGTATGTACATATGGAATGAACATTTGATCAGTTTAGTTTGTGGTGGTTGAAGTGCTTTTGAGTGAATGAAGCTGGATGCTAGAACTCTTCCGCATGCTCTCACTGCAGTTATATGGTTTTCAAGTGCAAATTGGCTCAGTCTGGTGTGTTGTTACAGGAACTACTGGTACCACTGTATGCACTGTGAACTTAAATAAATTATATATGTCCATACAACTCACCTGGGTAGATTCACTCTTCATTTGACCACTGTTGTGATATTTCTGGTGATTCTAAATGTATATTGGGAAGGGAAAACCACTAAATCATTTGCATTGTGACCATTTGCTGTTCATTTTATATTGTACGATTTCTTCGCGGTTTACCGAACAAGAGCAGCAAATTATAACATGTCCATGTTTAAGTTACTATGCTGTTAATTTATAAAATGTTGAAAATTGGTTAAAATCAAATTTACTTGACCAATTACAATTTTTATTACACAGATTAAGTAATGACATTTGCAAGACAAAAAAAAATAAAAATCCTGAGACTACACCCGAGAGAGAAAAAAAATCTACGCATACGCACGATAAAATACATAAATCGGAAACAGCATTGTGACCCGTGAAATGTTGCACTAGCAAGTTTTCCATGCATGCCCAAAAATGACTCGCGTAGAAGTCTTAAGGCCTGTACACACCAAGAACTATAGCGATAAATATATAAGCGTCAACACCAATGAGCGATAACACTGTTTATTCTAAGCGAGCGCTGCAGGTTTGTCGTCTGTCGCTTTAAATACACAAGCTCTTTAAAGCAGAAAGGATTCTGATTGGATTTCAATGTTTTTTATCATTTTTTATCAGCTATATTACTTCACTGCTATTTTTATATTTGGAACGTATATCATTATTATAGTTATCGTCCTTGGTGTGAACAGGCCTTTAGGGGTTTTTTTTCTCTCGCAAATGTCACTTTTACAGCTCGCTGGCAACACGAACACACAACTAGAAAACCTTGAAACGTCTTGACCAGGAGCGATGCAAAAAACGAAGCCGTTTCTTCCATGAAATCCAATTGGTCTGAACTTAAATATGATCTAACTACCGTAAACATGATTGTTGAGCAGCATAGGATGTTCAAGTTACTGTTATTTTAAACACTTAAAGGGATACCTCACTTCTAGAATGAATGTGCATTTAAAATGGGTCATTTTGTGTAGAAGAAATGTGAAATTATTTTTGAATTTGGAGCTTTCTAGACTGAGGAAAGCCAGAAAATGTATTCTTGGCTTATGTGGATGAAAGACAACAACTCCCAGAATGCACTTGCTTCGCTGCCCTAGGAGGCCACGCCCACCAGTAACAGTGCAGTAGGTAAACAACAGTCTAAGCTACTAGTGAGTCTCTGTGATGAGTCTGCCTGAAAATAGGTTTCGAGATCGGCCAAAATGTCCGGGATTCGGCTTTTGCGTTCTACAGTCGGCATTCATTATGTTTACTGTGGCGAGCGGGACAAGTAAGGGCTGCGGGAGAACGGTGCGAGGCTGGTGGCGTGATTACCGATGAGAGACACCTGTGAGACGCACCGGTCTCGTATCTCTCACGGAGGAGCGGGAATTTTCTTAGCAATGTTAAAACGAACATCAACCGATCACTTGTTTAGCGTTCATGTAAACACTACATTCAGATTCAGTTAGATTAAAACAAAAGGTGTGCATGTAAACAATGAATGGCGACTGCAGAAAGAAAAAGCTGAATCCCAGACATCGACGGTCGGACATGTCCGAGAAAAAGAGGACGGTAACGCCTACTACTCAGCTTTCTCCACAGAACAACCTGCTAGCTTAGCTTCCAAATAAAGATGGCTGACACTATATGTTCATTCTGTGAGTGAGATCCCACCCTCTATGGGTGGGTTGAAAACATGTGGGACAGGCCCTACTACTGACTGTAGTCTTTAGCCTCTGGCCAAAAAAATCATCTGATGACGCAAAATGACGTTTTTTGCGTCAAATTTTTTACGAATGACGTTTTTTTGCGTCAACGAAAGATTTTTTCCAGACAAAAAATACATAAATCTCTCGTCTCAGGGGGATATGACGGTGGAAAGCATGGTAATTTGAAAATACTACAGGTTTTCTACTAATACAAAGCTTAATGCCTTTAACAATTCACCAACCAATGAATCCTAAAGCTTTTCAGAGGTAAATATCAATGATAAGTGTTCATCACAAAATATTATAATTGTCCAAGATTGTCCAATCAAAAATGGGCATTTGTATCACTGTTATCTAGCTGATGAGAGCTGCCACATGATCAATGAATAACGAGGCCTTTTTCCTTCGCCTTCTAAAGCCAACATGCCACGAACAACATGATTGACCGATCATTGGTTGATTGGCTCAGATGAGTCTCTCCATTGGTGGAGGTTGCACAATGTTCCACATTTCCACTCTTGAACCTTCTTTCTCCTGCCGACTGGGGCTGTAGGTGCCTCGAGTGGCCCGTCGGTTCACCGTCATGACCAAAGCTGTGGCCACGCCGAAAAGAACCAACAACAGAATAATGGACACCAGGCTGATGGACAGCAGCAGGGCAGACGTCACGTTCTCTGCATTCAGCTAAAGGAAATAAAAAACAGGGCGGAGTTAGTGATGAGTAGGCAATGTAATTCATATTTTAAATACAACAAAGAGCAGATGCTCTTTGCTATTTTAATTTAATTCTTAACCTAATAAAACCGTATAATCTACATTTAGACGTTGGTAAACACTGAGAAGCATCCCAGACTGCAAAAGAGTCGGCCCGGATCCGGCCACATCTGGAATCCGCATGTAGCGGATGTGGGCCGGATCTGGCCCGAAACTAAGTTGCTGTCTTGGATTACACAAATAGAGATCATCTTGGCTCAGTCTACACAAGCTGACAATCTGTACGTGTTTTTTTTTTTTTTTTTTTTTTTTTTTACCAATGTAGGCTAGTCTCCAGTGCAGATCGATTGGCACAGCTGTCTGCTCCCACTGTCCCATCCTACCCCATCTGCCACCTCTCTTGACATTTTCACCACAGTCAATCCTGATGCAAAAATGAAGTCTTCTAACAAAACATACTGCCTATTATACAAGAGTTCATTAAGTAGGCTACTAAAGTTACGGTAAGATTACATTTTTAACGAAAACTACTGCTGATTTGTTCCTGAATACGTCAGTGATTTAAATGAATCATTTGAATGAATGATTCAATGACTCACTCGTTTTTTTTTTTTTTTTGTTCCTAAATACGTCTGTGTTTTGAGTAAGTCAGTTGAATTTGTCTTTGTTTAGTTTCTTTAGTTTGACATTATCAGGTATTGACTTTGTAGGCAGCGTTTGCACATGAAGGTTCCTCACAAAACTAATTTCAGACAGACTTCTAAGGCAGCGCAAGAGTTTAATGGTCTCTGGTCTGCAATAAAAAGTTAGCTTTGGTGATAACTAAGCGAATATTTAATTACTACAGTACTAATTTCTTGCAAGAAATGACATCATGAGTCGAAAGCGTTGGTCAAAAACGTACATTTACACAAACTTACCACCAACAGCAACTTTCAGGCGCCAAAAAAGTATTCTCATCGCTTGATAAACTTATAGTTGAGCCACTGTAGTCACTTGGACTATTTTAACAATGTCTTTAACAACTTTCTGGGCCGGCAAGTTTCAATTACAATGGAAGCCTATGAAGGAGTGAGCCAGCTCCCATGTTTAATTAACACAGTCTCATCCCAAAAAGTCATATAACTGACGTTTTGGGACGTATTTTGACCATACGTCAATATCAGCCTTTTTAGGGCCCCCTTAAACGTCGGTAGATGGCGATCCCGGGCCGTCATACAACTGACGCTTTACCTTTAACGTCAGTTAGGTGACGGGTTAGGTTTAGGGTTAGGTTTAGGTATGGGGTAGAGTTAGGATCCCATAACCTCATCTACCGACGTTTAAGGGGGCCCTAAAAAGGCGAATATTGACGTATGGTCAAAAGACGTCCCAAAACGTCAGTTATATGACGTCTTGGGGTGAGACCGGGTTGGTTTAATCAAAAATATCAAAAAAAATTAATCAAACAATAATTTGTGTTCCGAAAATGAACAAGAGTCTTACAGGAACAACTGGAACAACATGACGGTCAGTAATTTCGGACAGAATTTTCATTTTCTTCAAGTCGTACACACCTAATATTTCGTTACTGATCCAACCAGTGCTTTTGAATAAAACTTTTGACTGAAGGATTCAATGACTCACTGAGGTAGAAAGTCTGTTGTTTTGTTTTTGAACAAATCGAACGGTTCATTAATTCAAACAAAAATACAATCTACTGGCATAACAATGTAACCTGTGGAAATAATCAATGTAAAATCCCGACTGTCTGAAACTAGTTAATTTAGTTATGCACTATTTTATTTTATTTTAGTATGTTCCACATATCAACCCATTAGGCTATATTATATATAAAAATGATAGTAGTTCCAAGAGTCAATATAAACCACCAAATGCTACTTCTCACACATACTCTTCTAGAGTAAATGGACTGATCTTTCAGGACCAAAATTAGATTATCCAAGCCAGCCCTTCCCACACCGGCTCCATCTGTTGAAGGAGCCGAGACAGGCAAGAAGCTCACGGCCACAGAAACTCTGAGCTGAGCTCATCACCTGCTCTGAATGCAATGTTTTATGTGTGTGAGAGAAAGCGAGAAGGAGAGAGACAGCCAGACTTTCCAGCAGACAAACGACCCTGTCACTGCGATAAGCTTCTCCCGATATATTTCCCCCTCGTTTCCAGACCTGCAGCGATGCTCTGCTGAGTTGCATTTCACACAGAACGTCGCCGCGCCTTTCTGCTGGCCAAGCACAATTCTGTCACTCTGAAGACACAAACTTTCTCTGCAGACGTGGAACAGAACCACAGACCCATATTCCTCACACTAAGACACATTTATGCTTCAGCAGTCAAAAAACACTAACCCTCAAGAACTGTGCTTGCATCCCTGTCGCATTGCCTCTGCATTAATGATCTATTTTTAAGCCTTTTAAGAAAATGTATTGCATTAGTAATAAAATGAAAAAAAAAGTAAATCATTCATAATAACAGAATGTCAATCTAAATAAAGTTATATTGCGTTGTACGTTTACACGACAGCGAAGTACTAAAAACGTAAAAGTTTTTACGTACATAGGACAATGTTGTCAAAACGATC